TGTTTACGACACCCAGCCATATCGCTCAGTGTCTCTAACCATCGATTACGGTCATCCCGAGGTCCCCAGCCAGGGAGCCTAACAGGACCTATGTGACCCAGTCTCCTGGTTGAGGTCCCCAGCCAGGGAGCCTAACGGGGCCTATGTGACCTAGTCTCCTGGTTAGGGTTTCCTTGGCTTGACCACCCTGGGCTTTTTTCCACTCGGAATCTGCTTCGGCGAACATCGCTCGCCGTGGTAACCTACCTGGTGACATGCGTAACACATGTGAGTCGACCACTTGCTCCAGTGGGCGACTGCGGATACCCAAAACTCTGCGTCTAACATCAGCAATTCTCGTCCGGCTACCCCACCAGATTCGTGCAATGCTGCGTAGACAGCGGTGTTCAAACACCGACAGTCTGTCTTTATCTTGTTTTCTTATGCAGCGTAGACAGCGGTGTTCAAACACCGACAGTCTGTCTTTATCTTGTTTTCTTAATGGAGTTTCTGCACCGTATAGCAGAACTGGCCGAACTGTCGCGGCATACACTCGACGCTTCACAGATGTTCAAACACCGACAGTCTGTCTTTATCTTGTTTTCTTAATGGCCAAGTTTCTGCACCGTAAAGTAGGACTGGCCGAACTGTCGCGGCATACACTCGACTCTTCACAGACAGCAAAACGCATACCGAATATAGCTACACTGGCATTCAACTTATCCAGAAATGCTTGCAACTTACCTGGGTCTTCACTTAGTAGCACAATGTCGTCTACGTACTCCAGATCAGACAGCCTGCCACCTCAGAGTAAATCGATGTCACTATCCTCGCACGAGGATGGGGCTGTTTCCATAATCAGATCTATAACAAAGTTGAATAGAAAAGTAGAAAGAGGGTAACCCTGTCGAACACCACTTTCTGTGGTGAACTCGGACGAAAATGTGCTGTAAGCCCGGACTCGACTTCGGCTATTAGTATAAAGCGATGATAATATTGAAATTAACTTCTCAGACACACCTTTGAGAAAAAGGCAGCGCCAGAGTTTAGAGCGGTCGACTGAGTCGAAAGCCGCTTTCAGATCCAAGAAGACAGAGATGGTGGGTCTACGAAAATAATGTCGATACTACAGAATTTGGCAGGGAGAGTGAAGATGCGGTCGATACAACCTATTCTGTGTATGAGAATCCAATGCATCGTGTGCAGTAAACTCCTGTTGTGTTTTCGTACCTATCCCCGAAGATGAGCTTCACACTTGCTATCCTGATTTCATGCTCTTCTCTCGGCTGTTGGCTCTGCTCTCACATAGAGACATTCGCGACTGTATAGTTGTAAATGGGTTGTTTCGTTGTTTGTTATGTATAAGAGATGTATACAGCTACATCTGATTAGCATTTAATATACCTGTTCCCAAAATTGATATCTGAGTTGGTTTTGGAAAATTGTTGTTAACACTAGTAATTAAATCAATGGTACTTTCCATTGCTCCCGAATCTGATTTCCCTCTAATATTCCTCATTCCAGATACTCGTGATAGAAATCGATCCCTACATCCAGTGACACCGTCGTTCCAGAATTCGACAAACTCACCGCGTACCCTAACCACATTCAACACCATTCCTAATAGCACCTCACAGTCTGCATCGCATCCCAATCTTCTTCCACCCACTCAAGGTATGTGGCCTATACCGAACAATTTGGCAATGGCATTGGCTGCTGCCACTTCCTCTAATGTTCTCTGTCCATCGTCTGTAAGCCCACCTGGTTCCAACCCCGCACCATCGATGGGTACACAAATGTTATCGAACCCCTTATTCCGTTCCGGCCTTCCGGACGTTTCCCTTTTATCCACTTTACTTGCTGCAGGCAAATTATCTCCGGCTCTTCTTGCTGCACTGTCCACGGCGACTGGAAATGCATCTGGCTCCTCGTTCAATGTGGGCGATTCAACTCGCTCGGCGAATAATAACCACCCTTCTTCCGGTGGAGCTCATTCACGTCACCATCACTCGAACTGGCGCTAAGTCACACACGTGATATTGTTCGAGTATAAGAGCCTAACTGGATCCGTCTCACTGATTTCACTGTTTTACAATGACATTTCATCTCATTGAATGGCACATACTGTTCAACTTTCTTGTATAGACTCCAACGCAGCTCTGTGTGTGACTTTTCATCTTTTCACTTGACCTGATAGCGGACGGTCGAAGTGTCACGATTCGAACGAACCATATCACTGATCGGATTGTTTGGTTATAAAAGAAAATAAGCCGTTAGTATATCGAGACCGTTTTTGGCTCAGCGCGTATCGAGAAAAGTAATGTTTTATGTGAAATATCGTATGCAAATGTTCCGTTTTCGATCGTACAGTTTTCTCCGAGGTGGCTTTGATCATTCGGCGATTCTGTTACCGCGATTACCTTAAATACGATGCAGAGTAATGCACAGGGAGAAAACTGGACAGCAGGAGAACCCGCACTTGTTCCCAGGTGATATTGTGATTATGTTATTCTGGTCACTCGAGCTGGAGCACAAACGAAAGGCAAATTAAAATATCCAGTGTAATTCCGGTTTCGTACACACAACTCCATCATCAATAGCACTGTCTCCGGTTCCACTTTTACCTCACCACCTACAGAAATTTGGTGTTGTAATTCCAAATCTGAGAGGACGGCGAGCTGCCGCTACATTCTTGTTGAGCGTATAGATTAAGCCAGTTCAAATGACCCACAATCGATCGGGCATTGGATTATGCATGCAACTCCAGACAGTACCTCACAGGGCTGGGGTTATTCTTTGTGAGATTTAAACGACACTTAGATTTGTAATGTACCCATACCATCTGCCCCCACCCGGTGATGAGTCCTGAATACTCAGCTTGATCACATCTGTGCGGTCCTTGTACTTTGGTGAGGGAGTCAAGTGACAAAAAGAATAAATTCAAGTTATACCTGATCCTACAAATGGTGACAACGTTGGACCAGTGTAACTCCCAAATGAGTCAGTGAGTAATGTGTCGCCAAGCGGATCCCAAAGTGTCAAAAACTATGATCGATCCCATAAGATGTACACCTTAATGGCTTAATAAACAATCAAGCTATATGTGTGAAAACTTCAGATGTAATCTCCGATCCATTTGAAAACAGGAACCTAAAGTTGAGAGGTTGAACAAAATGAAACGAATCTTGATCGAAAAATTCCCACCGTCACGCTACACACAGGCAAATCGGAATGACCGATCCGGATCAGAATTGAAATGAATAGGTTCGGAGTAGTCAATCAGTAAAACATCAACATGAAATCAAGTCAAAGTATGCATGCATATTTGTGGAAACGATAAAAACGATTGGGTCTGTGTGAGGACAGGTGGTTATGAAGGAATTGATCATGGGCATTAGGAATTGAAATAAAACATTTTAGCGTCTGAGTAACACTGAATCTTTACTCCTATCCGCAACTCAGGAAGGCTCATGAGAGTACTCAGTTACGCCGACGGTGAACTGCAAGTGGTCTATCGCTTCTGGTTAAGTTGGTTATCTTATTTGACGAAACCAAATTCAACAGTAATTTTTGTGAAAATACGGTAGCTACTCATGAGTAGTGTAAATTGAAAAGCATCAGGATAGTTCAGGTGTATACAAATAGGTAATACCAAGCAATGATTCAACTTATAACACCAAGAATATCTAGAAATGATTCAGCAGAGATACAGTTGCCGATTGTGCTTCAACAGGTTGCAGTATTATTTGTCGAGGTTTGGTTTTATTGATGAAACCACACACAAGTACGCTGCTACCAGTTGGTCTCATATCATTTCCTCGACGAATCCGTACGTACCATTCAACAGGCGCTTTTTCCTACACCAGAAGGCATGAGCGTTGTTAGTATGAATACCGGTAGCAGAATTTATGAAACAGTCTGAATGACTAACCCACATAAGGATATGCCCTTACGATGTCATTGAACATTGATCTATGTGGATCGTTTCACTGCTGTTTTATCGGGAGAAGGCTGCTCACAGGTCGGTATTTCACTCGTCGGAACCCGTCAAAATGCTCTCAAGTTCACAAGTTAGAACAAAAATACCCCAGAATCATCTATAACGAACTGCCATACATTATTTAAATGCAAATAGGCTTGATGAATCTAAACATTAATGTGTGAATTCACGAAGATTTGTTTGGTTGGTAACAATTGGTCACCTCTGGCATTGCATACAGTGTCATTAAATGAACAGGCGTTTCGTTCGAATTTTACCGGACAGCGATCCAAATTAAGACAATTCATCAAAAGTGTGGTGAGTATAGTAAGAAGACAGCAATTTTATTTTATCGCATTAACAAGTTTCAAAATACTTTTTAGCCATGGGAGAGATCCCACCGGCAAGTCAAATAGTGAAGTTATGCTGTCAATACTGGACATAAAGCTTCAAATACTGATGTTTGTCGAAACCCGGTGGTATAGCCGAGTGGTGGAACATTTAATTTGATTACATAGTGAAGCTTTTTGTGTACACTGTAGATGAACCGTGAGCTGCGAAGCTAGGAAACATTGGGCCACTGTTTTAATCCGGTTGAGTTTCATCAACAGTGTAAATCTTAGTGCTGAGATACACGGTGTGTGATGCTTGCGCTAAGCCTGTAAAGATGGGATGTGCATTATCATGTGTAAGCAAAATTAACAGCTATCGGCCATACTTTCTACCAGTGGGGTCCCGGTTTCGAATCTCCGTTGAGTCAATGGAGTTTCAATGCTGATCAGGCCTGATGTTCATGGAGCATGTCCATTTTTTCACTTATTCGTAGTTGTTCTACCAATGTAAATTAAAAACGGTAAGTTTGGCAGTAAAATGACATCAACAAGAGAAACGATACATGAATTAACCTGCATTCTAAATACAATTTTCAATGAAACCGGAACGGCTGGAAGCTGGTCGGAGTTATCAATGATACATCATATGGTCGTGTATTCATCTTATCATCCGCTGGTAGCACATTCTCTTGCCATTGCAGTTTATCAGTCGATTGCAGCAATGCTCCAGGATTTGATCGTCAACACAAAACACAGCCAAGTCAGGTAAAGCTTTATGCATCCAATAGGATGAATTTTCAACAATTTCGACAGGTTACAGTGAGGAAAACGTTAAGCATTGGAAACAAGAAGAAATATACATT